AATATGTATCCATGTAGTAATACTGCTTGCAAACCAATGATGGTAAGATGATGTTAGGGGGTAGGACTAGATAAGTCTAACTTCTTCCTACTCCGTTCAAGCATGTACTAGGTATAAGCAAATTGATAATATACTTGTGGATATGTGTGGAATTATGTGTGTTGACATATTGACTGTCGTTACATGTTTGAAAGAATAAAATCAAATCAAAATCAAAATTATATAATGTCAGAAAATAGTGAAAATGGTCATTGTAATTCCAAGGGGAAGTTTTCAAGTCTGTGGTCAGACCAGCAATACAAAACTCATAATATTCAATATACTAATAGAGGACCATCAACTATTCCCATTTGAGCCGCTGGAACCAATGACTTAGCAATTTTGCTTAGAAAATGGTTAATCAATTATAAAAATGATTTGCTGTCAACACACCATTACCTTAAGTTTTGGTTCCAATAATCATATCTGATTAATGAATAATGAAAAGCACCAAAAACACAATGAAGAGATGAGGGAAGTGAAGAGGTATGTTAGCTGATAGGAAAGAACCCCACTGCAGCTAGGTCTTTTCCTTCTCATTTTGGAGCTCCCAACATATGGACAGCATCTGTCTGATTTCTACCCGACGATAGCGGAGAGAGTGAGGCAGCCTGCTATATTGTTAACAAGCATCTGACATGCTTGACCTGACACAGATGAGTGAAAGAAGGGCCTGACCTCTGAGAGGAGAGGTAACACTCAGCAGTAGCACGAGGACCAGCTCTGTCACCAACCTGCAGTAAATGATCAGGACAAGCAGTACTGACAGGAGGGGCTGCTGATGGATGGCAGCGCCCTTACTTACACCTGGGTTGGTTTTTCCCTTTCATTTGTCATCTATCTACTGATCTGCTGTTTATTCATTTCACACATTCTTTGAGACATCAGCGTGACTAAAACACTCCCTCTGGTGTTTTCATGACCTCTCAAGTTTCCAGATGACCTCTCAGGGCTCTGATGGTTGCCAAGTGCATTTTGTTACAACAGCCTAGTTGAGCAACACATTTTTCTGTGAGGCAGCTGATGAGATCTTCACTGGCTTTATTACAAAGCAAAGTCTAACAGTATGCTCCCTGATATCAAGAGTGAGATTAACCAGAGGTAATTTTCAGAGGCATAGTACACATGAAGAAGACTGTTAGGCAACACAGATTAAGCTATTTTAGATTTTCAAAAATCATAATCTCACTGATTCAAACTAAGCACTTACTGTATAAAAAGGCTATCTGGCCTCCTCCTATTGCGTTAGATTTGTCACATCCTCACAGTGCTGCTTTACAAAAAATAAACAGCTACTGTGCTCCTTTGTAGCTGAAACACTATGTGACCTTTGGTAAGAATTTACAAGCTGGTTTATATCCAAGAAAGCACAGAGACACATTTGTTATTAGGCTGAAACAAATGAGCGATCACTACTATTCACTGGGTTTAAAGAGACTTCAGCTGTTCCTCATGTGACAGACGATGGAAAGGAAAAAAAAAGCTAATGTGGACAAAACCAGGAAAGAGTCAAATAACCAGAAAAGGGAAGGTTTAGGTTCTGGAGCCATCTTTTATATTTCAGTTTTATCTAAAATAGTGTAACACCAGATCAGTCAGGTTCATTTGCAGGCTGAAAAGCACTTGAACTGGGGTCAGGATCCTCCAGTGGGGACCCAAGATAAAGGGACTGCGACATGATTAAAAGAACAATAAAAAGGACAATAAAATTAGTTACACAAAATTATGGCAAAATCAATGTGTTTTTCTTGTCAAATATTTGATCCTTCATTATCACTCCTTGATCTGTGTGCTCACAACCCATGCTGATACTGAAGCCATAACCTGAGATGAGAGGTTCACAGGAAAAGACTAGATCAGATGCGGAGATGTCGAGTTACACCTGGGCTCAGCCCACACAAACAACATTTTTGCAGCTTTTTGTGTCCACTGAGGAGGGCGAACTGCACAGTGTTACTACCAAGTAGCTGCTAGTTCATCCAGTTTATGGTCGATAAACTTTACCCCAGATGAGGAACTACAGCGATTTACCAACGTTATTTCGACACATACCCAACCACTTTTCATGTTCCTGCTACCTCATCACATCTTCTGGTGTTGTTTGGCCTTAACACGAGAATAACGTTTGATTCCTCAGCCCTCAAACAGAGGTGATATTAGTTCGCTTCGGAGCGAATACATTAGCTAGTTCTGCTAACCTTGAGAAGTTGAGGACCGGTTTAAGAGCTAAACCGAGCTGTCAAGTCAGCCACTTACCTCACTGGCAACCTGTTGCTCCTTCCGTGACCCACAGAGTAGTGCTGTTTAATGAAGAGGCCGAGAACAAGGATTTCTTTCTGCCAATCTGTAGAGCTGCAGCACACAGGATGAACAAGAAGGCGGAGCGTGGAACTCGTTTGTAAACTTTTAACCAATGAAATCACAGCACAGAAACGAGGCTCGCTCCAGGCGTGGCTGTCGCATAATATATAAATTGATACGAAATTATGTTTTCATTCGTGTATTCAGCTGCCGTTTGGATACACTTACCTGTTGATTAGGATATATTTACAAGATTTAGCAGCATCTATAGTCTGGTAACAAAATTATTCATAATTTGCTAAACTGAGAAATATAGCCTCAATGCACTTAATTTGTGATCCGGGCAGAGGTGGAAAGTAACATACAGTAGTTTAAGTGATTTTGAAGCACTACATTTATGCCACTTCATAATTAAAGGCTACTTCACTGCATTTCAGGGGCAAATGTTGTTTTACCCCACTACTTTTCAATACATGTTGTTTTTCAGATTAGGATTTTCCATGCAAAACAATGATTTTATGAAATGTAGCATAGATTAAACACCACAATATTTAAAGCAGTTCACTTCGGCGCCAACTTGACCAGCTGTAGTAATGTAACACTGGAGCATTGCTTATTGCATCAGTAGTGATGATCCAATAATAGATTAACATTTACAGGATCAATTCAGTTTGTTCAGGGTTTTTAATTTTTTATTTTAACTGCACTTTTATTTTGGCACTGGTGGCAAATTTATGATGTAGCACATTCATGTAGCCAGAGTATTTAGATTAAAAAAAAAACAAACAATTACAGTGAATGGAGCATTTCTGAAGCTTTCACCTACATCTCATGGACCTCATCAGTGAATGGTGCTTGCACATTTGCCATGAAGATAGCTCAGTTATTATCAGGTGACCTGAGTATGCCATTCCTATCACATGACAGTAGGTGGTCGTAAATAGATGACATTAGATGTGGTTGAAAGCTCAGGAAATCTTTCAGTAAGTGGACCTCAGTGAGAAGAACTTTTTGAACACTATTCGATTGCTATTTTTAAGGTCAGTAATGAACATTTATGCTCAGCTTTGCTTTTGCTTTACAAGATATGGGGGGAGGGTAGTGGACAGCGTTCAGCATCGTCACAGCCTGGTGGATGAAGCTGTTTGTAAGTCTGGTGGAGTGGGCCTGACGACTCTGATACCTTCTCCCTGAATACAGGAGTCTGAAGTGGGAGTGTGAGGGGTGGGAGGTGTCATCAGCAATGCCGATGGCTCTGCAGGTGTTAAAGATGTCCGTGAGGGAAGGCAGAGGGGCACTGATGATCTTACTGGCTGTATTCACTATGTGTTGCAGGGTCCTTCTGCAGGGGGCAGTACAGGCTCCGTACCACACAGTGATGCAGCCAGTGATGACGGTCTCAGTGTTGCCCAGGTAGAAGGAGCACATGATGGGGAGGTGGGACACTCTCCTCAGTTTGTGGAGGAAGTAGAGGTGTGATTGAGCTTTCTTGGCCAGTGATGTGGTGTTGTTTGTCCAGGAGAGGTCCTCAGAGATGACCTCTGAGAGAAACTTATTAAGTATGCATAAATAATGTTAATTAAATACTTACTGGTTAAATTGGATATGATGCTAAATCCCAGTGTGGCCATGTCACTTCCCTTTATGCGTACGTACATACTGTAGAGTCAGGTGACTGAGCTGTGCTGAAAGTCAGGCAACCATATTAACTGCAATTGACATAGTAAACCCTGAGAGGGCAGTCTTTGCCCAATGAGTCAACTTTTTTCTGTAGCCTCACCCACATAGAGTTACTGTATACTCATTCACATTTATATCCTTACTATTGTTGCAACTCCAGAGCAGAAGTCTATTTTGTATTAATAGTGAAAGAATAGAATTATGTTAAAAGTATCTGAAAAAATGGGGCATGGATAGTAAAGGAGAAAAGACTTTGACAACAGCATTCACTTAATGTCCTTATTACATAGTCTAGATTATATTAACTCTACCTTGTTATGTAGAAAGTGGTTTTATTACCAAGCTATTAGAGTCATTGTGTATCAATTTGTATTTTGCACCAAGCTCCAGAGAAAGAAACATTTTGCTAACAGAAATATATTGGAAAGTACCTGATGTAGCTTTGTTTTGACTAGGTTGAAATCCATTTCAGGATGAGAGTAAACAGCTCAGTGTATGAAAAAATAGAATGAGTGTGATATCTTGACCACAGTTGTAGGGGCCCTTCCCTTCTTTTATTGTTTGATATGTTTAGAATTATTTCAACATCTGCATTTTGCACCATTAACTAAACACACAAATCCATGCACGGTGCCATGGTCCCTTTCAGGAGAGTCAGCAACATGTACCCCAAAGGCTCTCATCTGTTCCTGCTTAACTTCTAACTCTGCTCCACCGGATCAGTTGATTGAGGCCAAATTGTTCTCGGTAATTGAAGATTAGTAGATAACATGAAAACCACTCATCACTCAGAGTAAAATGATCACTCCTCTCTCCCCCACAGTGCCCGAAGACCTACCTTTCAAGACAAGAGCAATAAATTGGCAATTTGACCACATTTCCACGGATGTGAGAGCAGAACACACAAATCTTATCTATATAGATTTATCCTTAAGACATTTTGAGCCATGCAGTATAGAAGCAGATAGATCTGCATACCTCGACTACAAAAGCTGAGATAGTTCATAGCCCCTATGCAAAGAAACAAATAATAATCAATCATCAAACCATAACAAATTGAAGAAAGGAGCTTCATGTTCAAATCTCAGGTGCACCACAAGTCTTTAAAGCATTTTAGGTGGAAGCCGAATCATTTGAGCATTTAAGATTTCCCTCCTTGTAAAAGAACACCTCCAAGTGCATGGTCTTTGTAATTTTGTGAAGGAGGAGTACAGTTATATTGCAATGAAATGTAGTTGCTCTGCTTTGTGTTTACTGTTAAACTACGAATCTCAGGCAGCATATACCAACTAAAGCATTCATTTTCCTTCCTGTTTCACCTTCTGCTTTTCATTGTCAGAAGCCTTGAAACTGTAGAAATTATCCTCAGTCCATTAATAGCTGTGGCGGTCTGGTTGGTTTGATCTGCATTCCACCATTGATGGGAATCTTATCTCCAACATCCTGTAACAAATTTCCGGAGACTTGCAACACAAAGTATCAGTAACATACAACACAGCAACAAATCATCTCCAGGTTGAAACCAAATACAGACCTTTGCCCTTACTATATTGTACCCAATAGCATATTAATAAAGCATAGCCAAAGCCAAGGTTACGTGAAAATTGCTCCTTCGTGATGAAAGAATAAAGAGACTGGGGGTTGATTTTCTTCAAATGCTGGTAAGCACAGTATTCATTAATTAGATTCCTTTTTATAGGAATGAACTGATCAGAATATCACGAAAAAGAGGTTAGTTTAAAGAAGTAGTTTGGCATTTGGGAAATAGGCATTCCTTTTCTTGCTGAGCATTAGATGACTAGATTGATACCACTCATGTTATTATGATAAATACATAGCTGGAGTGGCATAAAGACTCAAAACAGAGGGAAAAAGCTAACTTGATTGCATCACTTTAACAAAATCCCCCTACCAGTGCCTTTAAAGCTTGCTAATTAACATCTCAGTTATTTAATGTTGAATTATTTCTTGCTCTTGGGGAGTCACTGCTCCCTGCCAAACAGTCTGGTGAATAAAGCAGCAAATAGTTTGAAACAAACTTTAGAGGTGGTGTCAGGTGAATTATTTTGGGCAAAGCCAAGCTAGATCTTAGTTCTGTTTCCAGTCTTTAGGTTAAGCTAAGCTAACTGAATGCTAGGAGTGCCTTCTTATTTACCACACAGATATGACACTGGTATTGAGCTTCTCGTCTACCTCTCAGCAAGAAAGCTAATATGCCTATTTCCCAAATGTTGATACATTGTTTTTAGAACAAAACTAATACGGATACATGCTCTCTGCTGTTGTTTTCTAGTCCCTCAATTGGATGAATTGGGTGAATTACACAATATATAGCAGACCTGCATTTACAGTTTTTTTTTTTTCAAATTATTAAATATCTTTTTGTGTCCTTGATTCTGACAATATTGAACATTGCCTTGAATTTTGAAACTTAGATTTATCTGCTCATAAAAGCAAAACATACACGCTTAACTAATTATTATGTGCATTATACTGTATGGGAATTGAAGACTGCAGGAAAGTATGTCTATTTATAACATGGAAGCTCATAAAAGTCATGAACTTTATGCAGTGAACTTTTTGCAAGAGTAACCGTCTTTAATCTTCTGGGCAAAACTGCCCTGCAAGGAAAACTTAACTGGCGACAGACATTTTATGACTGTTGTGCCTTCGGCTTAAAGGATATTGGAAAAGTGATTTGTGGGGAACCTCTAGCAGACATTAAAACACATAATCTAAAAGATTTGTAGCCAGTCAGAGAACATTGGAAATGCCAGATCAATGTATGCAACATGCAAAATAAAAAGCAACAAAAAACAGCACCATATCTTGCCATAGTCAACAGATTGCCTCAACTTTGCTTCTGCAGAGAATGCAAAATTTCCTTACACTGTGTTTTATGAGTTTTCATTGCTTTTTGACTAGAGGTGGCTGCCTTTCTTTTTCTATGGGTCTCCCCTGTTGGTTTTGGAAAGCTTATTTCACCCCAGAGCCCTGACAATGGGTCAGCCGCAACGACGGTGGTGGAGAGGAAATGTGGAAAAAGCCAACTGGCTCTCAATATTTATGTTTTTTAGTGCTGTGGTTGTTTGAGTTTTGCCAGCGATGTCACACTACTGAGACCATTCTCCTAACTAATGGCTTGATATGCTGCTGTCTGTTGTGATGTGAAGAGAGGAGGCAACGGCTTTTTCACCATACTTTGGTTCTTCACACTTTGCTGTTTTCCTCTCTCCTTGCCCACTATCAAAGATATGTCAGTATGTTTTAGTGTTGATCCCCATCCCTTTTAGTACTGTATATTCTTTTAAGTCTCTGTGTAGCATAGTATGCTTGCCCTCTGTCCTCTTTCTGCCTTCTCCTTGTGCTCCTTATCCCATCTCATTTCCTCTACCTTGTCATCTCTGCACCACA